AAAAATGTGACCTTATTATGAGATGCAATTACGCAAGACTATGGATAAGCACGAATGACCTGTATATTGGTCTATATTGGGAATGGCATAATAGCAAAATTACTGACTAGGCTGTAATATCATGAAAAGCGGATTAAGTAGCAAAGAAATCAGGCAAATGATAGGGTGTTTACCAGGATAAAATAGGATAGACACAAAACGCATACTAGGGTATATAAAAAAATGTGAAATACAACAGTGAAGAAAAATTCACCTCATTTAGAGAGGCGATTGCTACTGGTACAGCAAATAGCCATCTCCAGTCGCCAAGGGAACTACAGGTCCAGAGATTGCGTCGGCCATCAGATTCTATAAAGCTCGAGTACCACAAAATGGATGTCTCCTTGGGGTACCAACGAACGCTAGAAAATAATGGCAAATCAATTCAGATGTAAACAAAAGATGACGACAAAAATCATGCTCTTAATTTTTTTTTACCAGAATGAGAAAAGTGAAGGAAGGGCATGTATAAATACGGACGTCATCTTTTCAACACTGTGGAGAACAAAAGCGTTGCGATACAATATCCCGCCAACAATCACTGGGCCGTTTGCCAAGCCAAATTGAATTAGTTGAAGAACATGGGACTGTGGCAAAAACCTGTTTAGCATATACATTGACTATAAGTTAACGTACCAGACAAAAATTAGTGAAATTAAGTTGACAATATAGCAAATGCCTAGCAGAAAAAGACAGTATTTCTTTCTTCTGAAAGCGAGTTTTTAAAAATAGTGCTTACATGTATTTCTGTATCCTAATTGCTAATAGTAGCACAAAAAGCACAGTAAAGATATACAGTACTAAGGCTGGACGAACAATTATGAATATATGAATGAGAGCAAGCAATGTCAAGGAGAAGACGAAGCACAACTTCTTGCCGGTTTTAGGCTAGCAATACAAGCAAAATTAAGTGATACCATGGCCGAGCGTTTTGTTAATCGTAAAATAGTACTGAAAGTATATGAGCTGTGATAAATTTACTTTTCTATGCTTCTATCTAGACGATTCGATATATACTGGCCATTTTTCTGCCTGCTAATACAAGACATCAAGTTTGGCATCAACGACACCAATCAAATCCGTAGAAGAGGCAATGAGGGGATGAAAAAGCTACGTCGATTAAAAAAAATATAATTAAAATAACAAATCTACATTTTTATAATTGTAGCAAGTCCTTTTTATTGTTTTATCGATTTTAGTACAATATTTAAAAAATTTATATATTATTAAAAATCACAAAATACTGAATATTTATTATTTTTTGCTTTATTTCTTATATTCTATCTCTGTTTGCTTTATTC